ACACTGCATTCCCCCACACATTTCTCTGTGCTCTTCCCTGACTGGTCAGGACACTTGAAATAGAGAGCAGGGCAGGAGGCAGACAGTCTATTTAACCACTACAGCCAATTATAAGGATAATAATCATACCTCACATTTAGAGGGTATGTTACCTTATAGTTACACAGCCTTTAAAGAGTTGATTTCATTTTAGTTTGTGGTGATGCCTTTGCTTTTAATAAGGATTAATGGCTCCTTTTCTTTTTTCCCAGATAGGAAAACTGAGGTTAAAGGTGGTTAAGTGACTTCCACTGGGTCACAGGCAAGGGAAATGGGATTTGTACTCAGTTCTCATTTTTAAGTCCGGTGTTTTTTTTTTTAAATAACATGTACCAACATAAGCTGGTTGTTAAGCTAAGCACTGTTGTTGAAGGGTTAGTAGTCCCTTGTGAGGACAGATGTCCAGATTGGGAGCCACACAAATGTGTAAGCCAACAGGCCTATCTGAGTCAGTCCTAGGATTTCTTCAGAGGAGAAAAATCCAAGTGACTGAAATGCAAGTGGAAAGCCAGTTATAGGAGTGGCACTTTGGATCTGGATCAGGAAGTGAGATACAGGAAATATTGAGATACTGAGTGTCTGATTCACCCCATATACCCAAGGCTCTGGCCTTCTGTAGCAGCTCTGTGTATTCCCTATTCCTGCCTTGTACAAATACATAATGACCATAGATTGGGTCCACCATAGTCTGTTGATCCACCAATTCTAATAAGACATTGGACTTAGAAGCACACCTTTCCCACTCCTAACATGCTGCCTTTCTGCAGACTGGTCAGTCAGACGCTTTTTTCTCCAGCAATCCTAGTACAATAATCAATATATTTAAGGGGCAGGTAGGTGGCACAATGGGTAGTGCCTAGAGTCAGAAAAACACTTCTTCCTATGTTCAAATCTGACCTCAGACACTTACTAGCTGTGTGACCCTGGGCAAGTCACTTAAAAGTTCCTCATCTCTAAAACGAGCTGGAGAAGGAAATGGCAAACCACTCTAGTATCTTTGCTGAGAAAACCCCAAATAGGGTCATGTAGAGTCAGACACAATTGAAGCTACTGAATAACAATGACAAAATACTTGTTTACTAGTTAATATGAAACTTTCTTTGGCGTTATAACCACTACTTTACGGTAAGCTGTTGGGTTCATGGAGGAAGGGACTATGGAAGAAAGGAATTATATAGGATAAGTTACAGGATAAGTGGATATGGTAATTAGGTGAATTGGAGATGGGAGGAGACTGAGAAAACCAGCCTGACTGAATTGGAGAGTTCTTATTGAGGAATATTGAGAAAGAAGGTTGGATTGGAAAGATGGGGCTACATTGTGGAGGGTCTTAAATGCTATTTGCTAAGTCAATGAATGAAGAAATGAAAAAGAATTTATTGTATATATCTTGTGTACCAGGTATTGTGCTAGGTGCTAAGAACACAAAGACAAAAGTGAGACAGTTCCTTCCCTCAAAAAGCTTACATTCTAATCAGGAGTGACAATGTAGGGAAATGATGGCCAGGGAACAAAAATTTGGTTTGGGGAATCACTAGGATTGTGAAGTAGAACCCTAGGACATTTGATTGACAATTGATTGTCATACCCTTTTCAGTAGCAATGGTAGTATTGATTTGATTACTGTTCTCAGAGCAAGAGGTGGAAAGCATTGGGAGAGAAGAAGGGAAGGAGAGGGACTAATAGGTCAGCAGGGAATATGGCAAGATGTTTGGGTGAGCCCTGTAGCTCAATGACCTGCAAGACACAAGGTCTAGGGCTGGCTGTATGTAATGAATTAGGTGTGTGTACACTTCCCTTATTCCCTCACACATCAGTCACAACGTTGTAGAATGGGTTAACATTCCAAGGAGAGAATGGGCATAGTATCTGAAGGTTGGGTTCATGATGTGACTTTTCCTGGTGGGGAGAAAATGAGAGCACAGCTGCTGGGGCTTTTGGTTCCTTTAGTTGGATGGGATTTATTCATTCTGAGAAGCTCTATGGGTAACTTAAGCTCATTTCCATCTTTGCAAGGAATGGTGCAGAACACTGCCCAATGTAGATGTGTAAATCCATAATACTCTACCTTCTGGTAGTTCTGCCATTTCTTTCTCATCATCTTTGTCCAAGCTGAACAACAGAGATACTGTTATCTCACCTCCTTTGTTTCTAGAGCAACCTTTTAAAGTAGACTGCATCAGGGATAATAATATTTTTTCCAGAGGAGGAAACTGAAACTTAGAGGTTATATCTCATTGATAGAAGGTAAACTCCTTGAGGTTAAGGACTGTTTTTCCTTTTTGTCTTTGTATTCCTTGTACCTACTGCAGTACAACTGTCTCCAAAAGGCACTTAATATATATTTGTTGATTTGATTCATGAGTCAATAAACATTTATTAAGCACCTACTGTGTGTCAGGCACTGTACTGAGTGCCAAGGACAAAAAAATGAGGCAAAAGACAGTACCTGTCCTCAAGGAGCTTATAATCTAATGGGATAGACAACATGCAAGCAAATATATACAAAGCAAGCTATAAACAAGATAACCAAAAATTAACAGAAGAAAGGCACTAGAATAAAGAGACATTGGGGAAGGCTTCCTGTAAAAGGTGGGATTTTAGCTGGAACTTTACAGGATTGGGATGAGCTTGTGATTTTTCTAAGCTCACACATCTTGTAAGTGTAAAGAGCCAGGACTGAAATATAAATTTTGTATCTCCAAGTCCAGCATTTCAGTGAGAATAATACCAGAAATGCTGTCTAGTATCTGGTTCAGTCCCCATAGTTCTGGTTAATGGAAATGAACAAAATCTTTAGAAATAACCACCCTGAAACTCCTGTTCTCAGAAGCTTTTATTCTGTCCAATGACATGAATACTGAACTGAACCAAAATAACAATTTGACAATTGTCTAACTTTTTTTCCCCAGAAAAGTAAATGTATGTTTGGATCTAGAATGTTGCCTCCTTGATGGGGACTGTTTTTAGTTTTTGTCCTTGTATTCCCAGAACCTAGAACATTGGATTGCCTTGGCTTAGATTAGACCAAATAAGAAATAACTGAAGTGTCTAGACTTGATGGTGACTTGCTTTAAAAAAATTTTTTTAAAAAGCAGTTTGGGATGAGAGAGAGGAGACATTTCATTGAACCCATACTCCATATTCCTTTATTTTTTTGAAGGTAGTTATTAATAATTCACATATAGCACTTTCCTTGCTACAGTCCTGTGAAGTGTAGAGTGCTAGCATAATTATTGCACTTTACAGTGTTATCACTAGCATATGACTCTCAATCTTCTAGCTCCAAGCTCTTTCTGTGACCCGAAGCAGTCCCCAAATACAAAGGTCACGCTGGTTTGCTTAGGCATTTTAGGTTACCATAGATTTAATTTAATTATGCCAGTTCTTGGCCTTGTGTAACTTGTTTGTGTTGTAATTAAAGAACCCTGTGGTGTAGCGGAAAGCACCCTGGATTTAGAGTCAGCAAACATTGTTTTAATTCCTGACTCGATTGCAGCCCTGGGCCTGTGAGCAAGTAACTTTATCCCTCTGGGTTTTGGTCTCTTCATCTGTAAATTGAGGATGCTAGAATTTGTGTGGTTATATGCCTATTATTGAAAAACTCAGTAAACCTAAAACACATAAAATATCCTCATTTGCCCACCATTTGCTTTGTAAGTTGTTTTGTTTCCCCCTTCAGCTTTTTGCATGGTTTTCAGTAAGAATTGGTTGGAGATTTTTATCCACGTGATGGTGTAGCACACCTGAACATAGAATAATCATTGTTCATACTTTCAGAGCACTTTACTTTGGAAAAGCTAAAGGATTTTCCCCATCCATCATTTTATCTGAACCATACATTAACCCTTCAAGGTTGTCAGGACAGTGATTATTTCCTCTTATTTTACAGAAATGGAAAGTAAGGACTAAAATGAATGGTTTCTCTCAGTTAAAGTGATTTATCTTGGTTAAACAATGGAGCCTGGCCTAGAATTCTAGGCCTCCCAACTTCCAATCCGTTGTTATGTCTATGTTAGCCCAGTTAATTCTGGAATAAAAGGTAGTTTGTTTCTTTATGAGCTGCTTCATTTTTTACCATAAGGTTATTGGTCATCAAATTGTTTGGGATTTTCACCTCAGTGAGTAATGATGCAGAACACTACCTCTACTTATGGTAATCACAAGAACTTCAATAATTTTCCCAGCACTTTCAGGTTTACAAAGTCCTTTGTTCATAACCACCCAAAGAGGTAGGCAGTTCAAATATCATTATTCACTTTTTAAAGATGAGCAAACCTTTTTAAGATATGGGAAGTGACTTAAGGCCAGTTAAAAAATAATCAGTAAATGGGAAAATCTCTGTCCAAACCCAAGGCAGGTCTCCTGATTTCAAGACCAGAGCTGCCAGTATGGAAATGGATAAGTCATTTCACTGTCTTGAACTTACGTTTCTGAGTTCCTTGCTAGCTGTCTCATAAGAGAGCTGTTTGGAACTAATTTGATCATGTCTGTAAAGTGCTTTGTAAACTGTGAATTGCAATAAATTTGAACTGCTTAGATGTTATAAATCTGATGAAGGAAATAATGTGCAGAAGGATTTTTAAAAAAACCGTTTCCAATTTCAAGTAAATTTTCAGTCATTGAAGAAATGGGATTGAGAACATCTCTAATTTTTAAAATTGGTGTCATTTTAGTTGCCAACACCCAACGCTCCTAGTTTGTGAAATAAATGGCCAAAACAAGGCTGAGTTTATCATTCAATTCAATGATGTATTTATTATTTATTTACATATGTAGGCTATTGTGTAGTACACAGGAAGTGGAGAATAGAGTGTGATACCATAAAACCTGGTTTCCCCCCATCATGAAACCTAAGGACTATTCAGAGTAGTGGAGGGGGCAGTATAACACTATTCAAGGTTGTAGACATTTTTCATGGTAGCTTATTTTAACTGGTCTATTTTGCTGTTTCTTGAAAGATTATGATTCGGATGCAATGAGCAGTTCGTATGAATCCTATGATGAAGAAGAAGAAGATGGGAAAGCCAAGAAGACGAGACACCAGTGGCCATCAGATGAAGCCTCCATGGACCTTGTGAAAGATGCTAAGATCTGTGCATTCCTCTTAAGAAAGAAACGGTTCGGACAGTGGACCAAGCTGCTCTGTGTCATCAAAGACACCAAACTACTGGTAAAACTTTTGGAACGGATAATTTTAAGTAAAATCTACCCTAGTGCATAGCCAAATTCTGATGCATTACCCATTGTTTGCACGTTCAGAATCAATATTCACTTTGGGAAAGGGGAGGAACCAAAGTGCTAAAGTATTGAATGACTTCCTGACAGCTGTATGTCAAGCAAGTATGCCCAGATTAAGTTATGTGTAAATTGAATTTTTGCTTATTGAATTACATTTTAAATTAAATTTGACTCAGTTTGATTCAACAAATATTAAGAACTGACAGCATCAAAAATTTTGAATATAAATCATCTTTTTATAGTAGAATTGAAAAGGCCTTCAGGTTTCATTTCTTCTACTTATTAGATATGTGACCTTGAGCAATTCTCTTCCCCTCTTTGTGCCTTGATTTCCTTATCTGTAAAATTAGAACACTAATATTTGGGCTGTTTACAACACCAAAGTTATTATGAAGAAAGTATTCTATAAACCTTAATTTTGTTACATAAATTTTATCCATTATTACCTACTTTGGTCCCTTCATTTTACAGATGAGGAAACTGTGTTGAGAGGCTTGAAGTGAATTACCCAAGGTCACATTGTCAGTTGAAGGAATAGAGTCTAAGACTCTTGATATCTCCCCCACCCCCAGTAGTTCCCTTCCTTGAGATGAGCTTATTAATCATAGGAAAAGAAAAAAATCCTTCTGCAAATCAAATACTCATGCCCCACACTATCAGTTGTAAATCTGCCTTTTAAAAAATATTGGGTCTATGATATGTGAGGGCACACCTCTCAGATCATTGTGGTTCCCTATGGCACTAGTCTTTAAATCCATTCATCTTTTTCCAGATGCCCTTGGTTTGGGGGTATTTGTATTTTGCTGTCAATGTGGTATTGCTCTTCCAAACCAGCATGATTCAGCCATGTGTTATTGCCAAATCTAATGGCCTCTGGCAGTACTCATCCTTCTTAACCTTTTTTTCTGACATTTGATGCCATGGACCATTCTCTTGTAGATATTTTCTTCTCCTTTGCCTTCTGAGACACTGTGCTATTTATCATGTTTGTCCTTCTAGCTTTTTGACTATGCCTTTTCATTTTATTTGTTCACTCACCAAGCATAGGTGCCCTCCCAAGGCTCTTTCCTTGATCTTTATTCTCTTTTCTCTACTCCCTGCTTTGATAATTTCATCTGTGGCTTCAATTATCACTTCTCTGTAAATGACAATCAAATTCATAGATTCATCTCAGTCTGTCTCCTATATTAGACCCCCCCCCCTTTTTTTTTGCTTTTTTGGTGAGGCAATCGGGGTTAAGTGACTTGCCCAGGGTCACACAGCTAGTAAGTGTCAAGTATCTGAGGCCAGATTTGACCTCAAGTCCTCCTAACTCCAAGGCTAGAGCTCTATCCACTGCACCACCTCACTGCCCCTCTAGACCTTTATTTCTAATCGCCAGTGCCGCATGGCTCGAGCCAGGTTCTCTGCTCACATTACAAATTCAACATATCCAAAAGAACAAAATCTCTTCCTCTCAAGCTTAATGGCTCCCAAACTCCTCTGTTTCACAGAATCTCAGAGTTTATGATTTAGACAACAAATTGCCATCTAGCCCTTCCCTGAAGACCTCTGGTGAGGTGGAAACCTTTTGAATAGTTCTTGTTGTTAGAAAAAAAATCTCATATTTTGAGCCTAAATCTGTGTTGTGCCTCTGAGTCTTACATCCATTGCTCTCAGGGCCCCAAATTTGGAGAGCATTCCCTAACCTTCTCAGTCCCCTTCCAATAGAATGTGAATTCCAAGAGGGCAAGGGCTGATTCATTCTTGTCTGTGTACCCCCAGCACTTCAATTCCTGGAACAGAGTAAGTAATGCATACTTATCGAATAGGACCATTGATTATAAATTCCAGATCTTGAGCAGATTGGAGAAAGAATTCCCAGTTCAGAGTGATTGTAGGGACAGGTCACTTGGCATTTCCCTTTTCACTATGATGCATGTTTCTCCATGAAAGTAGCATTACTGCCAGCTACTTTTCCCCTTTTCTTTCAAGATTAAGGTTCATCTCGCCCAAGCTTCGAGGTGCAGGACCTACTTGTGGGCCCGATCCCAATACTGATTTTCATGAGAGCTTTGACTTATTCCACTTTCAATTTGGGCCACTTCACCCCTCTCTAGGCAAACTGGTTCCGCACTCCCCTTCCTACAGGCTCACCATATTAATACTGAATTAATTGTAGACACCCAATTGGTATAACCCAGACCAGTTCAAAATTTCTGAGCTCAAGAGATCTGCCAGCCTTAGCCTCCCCAGTAACATGTGACACCATGTCTGGCTATTTTCTCTTTTCTTTTAATTCTTATTGACATCTTTCGTTGATCTTCGTTTCTGAATATATCTCTTCTCCTTCTTCAACTCGATGAGCCATCCCTTGCAACAACAACAACAAATATTTAAATGAGATGAAAAATGTACTTCAAAAAACCAACCAAGCCATCAACTGCATCTGACAGTATATGCAAGGTACCATGACCACAGTCCCCCACCTCTGCAAGGGAGGTAATGCATGACATTTTAACAAGCCTAAAATTAGAACTTTTTAGTTCCCTTCTGAAGTGAGCCATGGTATTCTTCTATGCCAGGCCATGCAAGTGGGGCATGAAGGGCCTGGAGGTTTTGAAGAGGAAAAGTATCAGAAGGGAAATTCCTTTCTGCCTTTGAAACCTAAATGCTGAGTTTTCTAGAATTAAATAGAAAGGCAGGGAGAGGGGAGAGAATAAAAAATGAAGCAGTGGAAAGGGAGACCCGTGTGGTTTGCTAAAACACTATAATCCTTAAGAAGAACTCACATTTCCACATTTCTATAATGCTGTACAGTTGGCAAAGTTCTTTCCTCCCACTTTTGGAAGGAAAAGTATTAGACAAATATAATCATTCCCATTTAACAGATGAATAAACTGATACTGAAAGAGATGAAGTGACTTGTTCCTGTCTTCAGGTTCTAAGGCCCAAGCATCTTCCACACAGTATGCAGAAGAAAGCATAGGGAGAGCTACCCAAATAAATTAATAGTCCATAGACTACCTATGATTTTTTTGGGGGGCTTCTTCTGAAATAAGCTTGAGGTTGAGCCTTTGCATTATAGTGTTGTCAAATAAGCCTTTGCATTTGTGTTCCTCTGTGTTTTGAAGAATTTCCCAAGAATTATCTCATCAAAACATAATTTCTGTGTCATCTATGGATGATTTTATGAGTATCCTGAATAGCATCTTAGAGCTGGAAGGATCCTCAGAGACATATGTGTAGTCCAACCTCTTCCAACAGTGGTCCAGAGAAGGGTCATTTTACAGTAAGGCAAAGAATCGACTGTTTTTCTCAACATTTGAATTTTCATTATGTGACACTTAAAAAATGCCATGCTAAATTTGTAATGAAGACATTGCTTTTTTTTTCCTTTTAATTAAGTTTCTTATTCTTTTAATTAAGTTTCTTATTCTTATTTTTGAAACATTGAAGATGCATATTCTCACCACATGTGTGGCCTGAATCACTCCCAAGTTTAGTTTTAGCCAGTATGATGCCATGGGGAATTATGAAAAATAAATAGTAAAAAGGAAACTGGGGGGGAGGGGCAAAAACTTAACGAATGTGTTCTCAGTTCATATGAAATTTGTTGTCTGTCTGAATAATTGCCCTCTAAGGCTTAATTATACATATATATACATATACATATATACATACACATACACACACATACATATGTACATATATACATATACATACATATATACATGTATATGTATATAAACATATATTTCTCATCAATTAAAAATCAAAATTAAATGCAATTTAGGTGGGATGTTTTTAAAATGCATCCAAATGTCTAGTTTAAATGTATCAACTATGATTATTTTGTACTGTAAACATGAAAATGTAAAATGTAGCTTATGTTGACAAATACCTATTAATTACCAGGACTTTATAATTTATAAAAAAAGGAATGAGCCTCATTTTCCTCTTTCATGAACTGGGAGGTTCTGCTAGAATTAGATGATCTCTTAGGTACTCCCCAGCTCTGGTTTTTTATGGTTCCGTGATTTAAGATTCCTTTCCATCTCTGACATTGTTCTGGGTATGAAGAGCTCTTCTAGCTCCAATGTTTTTCCTTGTATTTCTAAAATTCTATGTTCTACAGCCCGATCTTCTGTCTTGGAGTCTCTACAGTGTTCTATAATTGTTTGGAACTAAGTTACCTTTTGCTAATTTTTCTCTAGATAACATTCCTTTTCCCCCTTCTTCTGTTTTCAGCCTATTCTTCTATTCATCAAAAATGTTTAAGGCTGGGAAAACACCTATCTAATAAAAGCTAGTGAATATGTGTCATCCTACCTCTTCCTTAAAGGAATGGACCCATCAGTTATAAAAAAAAATTGTAAAGCAGAAAACCATATTGTGTTCTTTCATACCCATGCTAGCCAAAAGTAATAAAAAACCTTTTAAACCCTCAAGAGAAAATAAACACAATTATTAAGGTGAAGAAGGAACTTTAGAAGTTTTCAAGAAAATGGAAGATTAAGGAAAAGATGTTTGAAGCAATATCAGTCTTAACTATTCTGTTGGCAAATCTGTTGGCCTAGCCAGTGTGATCATATCATTATTATTTATTTTGTACTAGGAAATGCTCATTAAAAGTGTAAATAGGGGCAGCTAGGTGGTACAATGAATAGAGCAGTGGCCCTGGAGGCAGAAGGACCTGAGTTCAAATCCAGCCTCAGACACTTGACACTAGTTGTGTGATCCTGGGCAAGTCACTTAACCCCAATTGCCTCATCCAAAAAAAATGTAAATGGACATAGTTGTGGAATTGAGAGAGGTGTTAATTTGATCCCCTATTTAAATTAAGTCTGCAGATGGTTTACAGAGATTTCTGTTGCTTATGTGTAGGTATTTCCAATTTTCCTTGTGCCAGTGCCATTCTACTCAGTCTGGGATCACCAAAGATACCACATAGAAAGCCTCTTCTTGTTCTTTCTATGGTTCCATTGTGCAGAAGTATGGAGAAGGAGTACAGTGACTAGCAGCTGAGCCAAATAAAATCTACCTGGAGCCTGGGAGAGAAGGGTTTGCTGGTCTCCAGCCACATATAAGATCATTGAGGGATCTTGAGTGCTCTGAATAATCTCCCTCAAATCATGGATTACTAAAAATACCAATGGTGCAAAGTGGGGCAGAGGGGAAATCCAGAAATGGTGCCGAGACAGTGGGTGGGCACAGCACCATTAAGTTATGATGTCCTGTATATGTTGTGTTGATGGATCCACATGGAAATGGAAATGTACTATTTTGGTGGCATGTTGGTGATGTCTTCTCATCATCTCTTGAGAGAATATAGAATTGTAGGATCTCAGCCTTGAGACACCCCAAAGTTCAACTAATCCAACTCATCTTTGAGCAGGCATTGATGTCCTTGCGGTATGTTCTGCTTAGAGATTACCACCCTCCTTCTCTCCCCCCCCCCACCCAATATTGCCTTTCTTTAGGAATAAACTTAGGCCTCCCTTGCTGCTTTTGTTAATTAGGTATTTATTACCTGAGGTATTGTTATTTATTTATTTTTAATAATTATTTTAAATAATTTTTAAAATAATTATTTATTATTTATTACCTAAGGTATTATTTGTCAATTAGGTCTTTATTAAGCACGTGCTTTGTGCCTGGCACGTCCCTCAGCATCATCATGATAATAATAACAGCCAGTATTTATATAGCACTTACTATGTGCTGGCACTGTGCTAAGCACTTTGCAATTTATTATCTCATTTGATCCTCACAACAACCCTGGAGTCAGATGCTATTATCCTTCCCATTTTACAGGTGAGGAAACTGAGGCAAAAAGAGGTTAAAGGGTCACACAGCTAGTAAATCTCTGAGGTTTGAACACAGGTCTTGCTGACTTCAAACTCAGCACTATCTCCAATATGCTGCACAGATAAAGAAAACTATAGGAATCTGGCAGAGACAGCGACATTATTCCTTCTTCTACCTCATCAAAATTAATCAAATTATTATCATCCTTCTCATTCATCATCATTATCACTTATGTAGCACTATAAGGTTCGCAAAGTGTGTTAGACATGTTAACTCATTTGATCCTCACCACAATCCTGCTGTGAGGTAGGTTATTCCCATTTTATAGATGAGGGAACTAAGACTGTGAGAGATTAAGTGAATTGCCCAAGGTCAAACAGCTAGTAAATGCCTGAGTCGGAATTTGAACTTGCATCTTCCTTACTCCAGGTCCTTTATTTTACTGTTGTTGTTGTTGCTGTTATTTTGGACTGGACTTGTGATTTTAGTGAAAAAAGAGCCTCCTAAAGAGGCAACTTCCTCTACAAAGTGAGTGACCATCTCCTCTGGAACCTATATTTTTAGGAAGTGGCCAGGATGTGGTAGAGGCAGCACTTGAACCCGGGTCCTTTTTACTCTATGGCTTCCTCTCTATCCATTACATCAGTGATGTCAAACTCAAACAGAAACAGATCTCCTTAGGTCACCTCTTGACTTAGAAAACCGCAAATTAACATTGTCTGCACTGTATGCATTTTTATTTGTTTTGTCAAACATTTCCCAATCACATTTTAATCTGGTTCTTGCAGCACACGGGAATTTTGTGGGTACATCGCATTCAACACCACGCTATGCAGAATTACGTCAAGTCTAAATACATTCTCATCGTATGTGTCTGTGCTTAGCGGGGATAAGCATCACCAGATCTAGCCGTGTGACTTCTAGGATCATGGGATTTAGAGTTGGAAGGAACTTTAGAGGTCATCTAGTCCAACCAACGCGATTAAGAAAGGAGGAAATGGAAGCCCAGAGCATTTAAGCTACTCGCTGTGGCTGACAAAGGTGGAGATGAGATGCAGCCTCTCAGTTTCCTGATTCCAAATTCAGGGCTCTTTTCACTGTGTCACCCTGCCTTGCTTATCTGTAGACCCAGCTATTCCCCAAAAATGATTTAGTCATTTAGAAAAGAATTTTGAATGTGTCATAAGACTGAATACCCAATGCCCATTAAATTGCTAATCTGTTTTCCAGCATAAGCCTCCACTTTGAATATCCAGTCTGAGTAATTACTTATCCAGATGCCCTGAGAATTACCTACCCTTTATCCTAGTTGGTTTTATCATTCACTTAGCAAATATTAAGAGCCCACTTTGTGTAGCACCATGCTAGGGACCAGCAGAGCTGCAGAGATAAACGTGAGCCCTGACGTCATAGAGTCTATGAAGAAATACACACATAACTGAAATATACAACACTGCGTAGTAAATAGAAGGTGGGGCAGAGGGAAAAGTACTGAGTCTAAATTCAGAGGATCTGAGTTTAAATCCCAGCTCTGCTACTTACTGCCTTTGTATCTTTAGTCAGTCAATCGGTAAGCATTTATTAACCTCCTACTGTGTGCCAGGCACTGTGCTAAGCATTAGGGATATAAATGAAGGCACAAAACAGTTAGCTCCCACCTCAGACCAAACACTTGATGCTTACTAGCTGTGTGACCCTGGGCAAGTCACTTAACCCCAATTGCCTTAAAAAAAAAAACACCAAACCCAAGACCAGGGACTGTGTTTTAGGGAAGCTAGGTGGCACAGTGGATAGAACATCGGCCCTGAAGTCATGAAGACTTGAGTTCAAATCCGACCTCAGACCAAACACTTGACACTTACTAGCTGTGTGACCCTGGGCAAGTCAGTTAACCCCAATTGCCTAAAAAAAAAAACCAAACAGTTAGCTCCCTTGGGAAGCTCACAGTCTAATGGGGTGACAACATGCAAAGAAGCTACAAATTGGATAAATAGGAAAATCAACAGAGGGAAGGCATTAGAAGTAAGAGGGATGGGGAAAGGTTTCCTGTAGAAGATGGGATTGGTGTTGCTTTACAAGCTTTCTTAGAAGAATGTTAAAACCCGTGCTGTATGGTTATTGTTCAATACAGTGCTACAAGAGTTCCAAGGACCAGCAACCCCATATGGAACTGCCACTGCATGGGTGCAGCATCACCTATATCCCCAAAGACAGCAAGAAGAAGAAGCATGAGCTGAAAATCACACATCAAGGCACGGATGCCCTCGTCCTAGCTGTTCAGAGCAAAGAACAAGCAGAGCAGTGGCTCAAGGTAAGATAGACCTTCCTATTTTAGGAATCATTACAGTTTCCATGCTCTTCCTGCAAATAGTATATTGAACTTGTATTCAATTCAGTCTGCATTTGTAAAGCACCTGTTATGTGTCAGGCTGAGTGCTAAGTGCTGGGGATACAAATTAAAAAAAAAAGGATATCCCCTGCCCTCAAGGTGCTTACAATCGAATGCTGAATTATGATATCCTATAGAAAGAGCAAAGGATAGCCCCTGGACATTTTGAGGGTTATGCTGGTAGATCTCAGAACCTTTAAACAAACAAGCAGAAAGTGACCTCTAGTGTTCTTGGAGAATTCTTCTATGGAAGATTTGCAGAAAACCAGGGACCGGAATGACACAGAATGATGGGGGGAGGAAGGAGAGGGTTGGGTTTAAACCAATGGAAGGATTACCCCTACTGACCAGAGTACAAGCATTGCTTGGGTCCAGGGTGCCTTTTAGTCATTGATTCTCTAGCTTTACCTTCTGGCTTTGTCAGAGATGTTAAGATGTGAAGGCATTTGACCAATCTGGCATCTCTCTATTTTTTCCCCCTTATCTTTTCTCCCTTATCTTCTTCTTCCTCACCTTTTAACTACATGAGTGTTATTCCACCATTCATATTGGTTCTGATTAAGAGGCAAATATAAATGTGACTGAGCTTAAAAATAAATCAGGGTATGAGCAACCAAGAATTTCCATTAAAATAGAAGAAAAATGCAGCTAAAACCAGTCATAATTGTAGTTGTCTCCCTTTGAAGGTTGTTCTTCCAATTGCCATCAAATATATAAACCCTTTTGTATTGGTACTAGAAAGACTTTATGTACAATAGTGTGACCACATGAATGTATGTGGTTAATTTTTGAACTTATCGATAGAGGAACATAGCATCATAGCTTTAGGGCTGGAAGGAATGTGAGAGGTCATCTATTCCCATTTCCTTTTTTTTTTTTAACGGATGACAAAACTAAAGCCTAGAGAGGGTAAATGATTTGCCTAGGGTCACACAACTGGTAGTTAATATCAGAGAATGGGATCTGAACCCACCTTTTCCTAACTGCAGGCCTTACTTTTTTGTCCACCATATCACACTTCCTTTGAACTTCTGGGTTGTATTTATTACATACCTACTATGCACAATGTTTAGCAAGGTGATGGGAAATCTGATGCTAGGTATGATAATAGGACCTGGTTTCAAAGAGTTTACAATCTAAAGGCAAGAGTGGACTATAAGATTTAGGCAGGAATAAATAAGGGCATGGTTCAGTGGAAAGCAAACTGAGTTTAGAATGAGGACACAAGGGTTTGAACCATAACTCAGTAGATTTACTCAGTTTAATTTCGTAAGCTATCCAGGGAGGTAGAGGTCATTTCCTACAGGGGATAGATCAATCAAAAGGCTGTTATCAAATGCTATGTGGCAGGTCTTGTGCTAAGTTCTGGGGATGCAGAAGTAGAAATGGAATAATCTCTGCCCTCAATTCGAATGGGGGAGATATTTACACATATCAGTATATTCAGCATGTATGCTGTATAGGACAAAGACAAAATAGTTTTGGAAGAGGGTGCACTAACAGCTGGGGGGAACCAGGAAAGGTTTCACATAGAAGGAGGTACATAGTTGGGCTGAGCTTTGAAGGGATCTAGGAATTCCAAGAGGTGTAGATGAAGGGGGAATATTTGTTGGGCGTGGAAGACTTATGTTACCTTGGACCAGTTATTTCCCCTCTGTGGCCTACAGCTATAAAGTGAGGGGGTTGAACCAAATATTTTCCAGGGACCAGAAGGTCACTCCCAGCTATGAGATAATCAGTGTAAATGAACAAGAAAGGTTCACTTGAGGCGGTATAAAGAATTTAAGGAGAGAGAGATCACATTCACTTGGGTCCTGGGGAACCAGGGCTTCAACAAGAAAGTGTTGCCTAAAGTGGACCTCAAAGACCATGAAGGAGGGACTTCAACAGATGGAGATTGGTGGACAGCCCATTGCAGAGTTGGGTTACCAAAGGTACCAAGACAAGAAAAGGCAGGATAAGAATCAGTCAGTGAAAAAGCATTTACTAAGCACGTATGGCCAAGATCCTACTGTGCTAAGCTCTAGCAATGCATAGTCATAACATGGTGAATAGAGGATACTTCAATTACTACATAAAAGAGAATAGTATGAGATAAGATTGGGGCAGCTAGGTAGTGCAGTAGATAAAGAGGAAGACTCATTTTCCTGAGTTCAAATCTGGTCTCAGGGGTCAGCTAGGTGGCACAGTGGATGGAGCACCAGACCTGGAGTCAGGAGGACCTGAGTTCAAATCCGGACTCAGACACATAACACTCACTAGCTGTGTGATTCTGGGCAAGTCACTTAACCCCAATTGCCTCACCAAAAACAAAACAAAACAAAACAAAAACAAATTTGGTCTCATATACTTACTAGCTGTGTGACCCTGGGCAAGTTCCTTAACCCCGTTTGCCTCAGTTTCTTCATCTGTAAAATGAGTTGGAGAAGGAAATGGCAAACCACTCCAGTATCTTTGCGACGAAAATCCCAAATGGGGTCATGGAGAGTCAGACACGATTGAAAAGACTGATCAATAACATGAAATAGGGTTAGAGAAGGCAGGGCAGAGTTGATCATAGAAAACTTATACTCTAATGCTGTGATAAAGAGCATACTTTATTTGAGATGTTATAAAGAGCCATAGAAGGTTTTTGAGCAGAAGTGTCAGGTTATCTGACAGGTATTTTTTTTTAAAGATGACTGGAAGCATTGCATAGAATGAATTAGAACAGGGATAGCGTGGAGACAGGGACACTAGTTAAGAGACTATTATGGTCATAGATGGGAGGGCACTTCTGTCAGCCCTCCTGCTGGGGAGGTTGAGGCTGTGGTTCTCTTGATTTCAGGAGTTTTGGGCTACATCTAGACGAAAGCTTATTGGGTATCCACACTGAGTGCACTCTCAATATAGAGTGCACTTCTCAGGAGTGGAAGAGGGTGCTGCCAGGCAGATGAGTGTAGGTGGGGCATAAGAACAGCTGAAAGCTTCCATGCATCAGCTGTTTTTGATAGTTTAGGGTCCAAATGAAGAAAGAGATGTAGTAGAGAAATGGAGCAAAAGTGATGGATATTGTGAAGGCAGAATCAACAGGATGTGGTTACAGATACCATGGAGGGGGTCTGGCTAGAAGGTGGCATCTGTGAAGGGGAATGGAGTAAATAAACCAGGAAAGGTACATCAGAACCAAACTTCCAAATACCTGAAATGCCTGCACAATGAATTTGAATTTTATCCAATAACAACAAAAGCAAAAATTGACATCTCATTTGAGACAAGTGACAATCTTCCTAAGGAAGAGGTAAAGTGACATTAGAGCATCGTTGAATTTAAAGCTAAAGTGGACAACGGAATTCTTTCATTTGGAGGCCCAGAGTAACTTTAGCCATTCAGTTGAAGCTATGATTCCCATTTTACAGATGGGCAAACCAAGCCTTAGAGAGGTTATGTGACTTAGTTATTATCACACAACCTGTGTCAGAAGCAGAATTTGAACCCATATCTTCCTTACTCCAAGGGTAAGCATCTTGTCGCTTTATCAAGCTATCTCTCTGTTGACCAACCACAAGTCTATTCCATTGGTTTAAAGTCCAATCTTTTTTTTTTTTCAGTTCTCCCTCAAGTAGCAGCTTGCTGGATATATTATGCCTTTAAACAAACAAACAACTAACCAGTGGAAGATTATTTTATTGGATCATGAAGCTTTGTTAGTTGATGAATAGCATTAACCCAGAGACTTGAAGAGAAACCTACAAAAAGCATGGAGACCTTAAGTGCTTACCAAGGGAAGAAGTTTCTCTCTTTTTAGCTCCCCAGATGAGAGTTTATTAGAGGCCTGGGGCACATTGCTAATTGTAGGATGTCGAACAAATTTCTGAATGGAGTATTAATGGTTTCTAAGAATGTTCTTTTCAGTATTTTCTTAATCATTCTGAAGAGGTAACAAACTCTAATACCTTTCCAACAAGTTTCAGTGGATTTCACCATCCTGTGTAATGTACAGTCTGAGGTCAGAGGGCTTTCAATTCTGGGCCTCCGTTTCTTCTTTTGTGAGATGAGGGAGCTAGATTAGATGACCTAAGGTTTTTTCTAGTCCTACTTTTAGGGGCTATAATATACTAGTATGAGTTGTTTACATTACCAGGCAACTGGATGGCAGAGGGTGTGAGAGTGCTAGACTTCGTTGGGCAGGAAGACCTGATTTCAAGTCTAGCTTTACACTGCCTAGATGTATGTGACCTTGGACAAGTCACTTTAACTCTCAACCTCAGTTTCCTTCTTTGTAGAATGTAAATTAATAAATAAAATGACAGCACCTATCCCTCAGGGTTATTGTGATAATATTTGCAAAACTTTTTGCAAACCTTAAAACGATGTGTAAATACTAGTCATTATCACATTTTGCATAGTGTGATTTGTTGTTTTATTCATATGAATCCTGGGATATTGGCAGTACAAGTAGTAAATTTTTTGCTGTTTTATAGATAAGAGACAAAGTGACATCCTAACTGCGTTGAATTTAAAGCTAGAAGGGATAATAGAGTCCCCTCATTTTGTGCCCAGAGTGATCTGATTACAGTTACACAGCTTAGGATTTAAACTGAGTATTCTTCTTTTGTTACCTTGTGAATTGTTTTCCTTAATGCAAATATCAGAGTTAAAAAGGAATTTTCTTGCTAGACTTGATTTCCCTAGCTTCCTTCAAGACTCAGATCCCTTCTTCTTCTTCTTTCTTCTTCTGTTGGGGATAAATGACTTTCCCAGGGTCTCATCGCTAGTTAGTGTCTGAGGCCACTTTTGAACTCAGGTCCTGCTGACTCTAGGGCCAATGCCCTATTCACTGTACCACTTAGCTGCCCCAGATCCCATCTTCTACAGGAGGCCTTTCCTGGTTCCCCTAGCTATTAATGCCTTCCCTTAGAAGATTGCCTTCCATTTACTCT